CACCATCTTAAAAACAACGTTCACCCTTACATAATTTGAAGTAAACTTTTTCATTTTAGACTGTTTATCGTATGTGTCTCGGACAAAACAGACGTGACAACATGTGCATAAAAATCAATTTGCGTAGGAAAAGAGATCCTTTTGGTGTGTCTGTTGTCATGGTAACCACTAAGCGTCAAAATATGGCGTCTCTGCTGAGTGAGATACTGTTTGAAACCGCTGGACAAGGCCCACCTCCCTCTAAAGACTTCTTCCAGTTTGTTATCACACAAAAGGAGGTATTTAGAAGTACATGAAATATATAATTTCTCTGGAATTAGTATAAGGGACAAAAATGTAAACGTGGTGGTCAATTTTTATTATTAACGTTACCTGCATTGCAAAAAACAATTGTCTCTGATATCTGATCAGCAAAATGGATGTGATGTGTTATTTATTTTTTTTGTGGTGTGATGTGATGTAAAATATCTTGTCATCAGTCATAATGACATGACATAAAAATACCGGTACTGATAAAAAAAAAAATGTTCCCCCAAAAGTGGTTATAGCTGGAATTTGTGTTAGTCATATTAGGCATAATGTTTCCTAACCCTTAATTACCAACAGGTTATATGGAGGTGGTGGAAGATTTCAGTTCGGTCTGAATTCAGAGGAGCACCACCTGGAGAGATAAAACAGTTGCACAATGACTTTTTGAACGATGCAAGGTTGCAGGGTAAAGATCCAGCTTTTGTTATTCTTCAGCTAAATGATGTAATCCGAGTTGTAAGCTTGAATGTCATTCGTGGTTTTAGAGCAGCTAGCTGCAGTGTTCGGCACCAGGATTCTGGACTACACTTTGGCCCTGTGTCGAGGGCATGTTGACTACCTGGAACGTTTACCTGACAAGCTGCTCCTTAAAATCCTTTCCTGCATATCCTTACAGGACATTGGCCACCTCAGCCAAACCTCAAGCAGGTTTAGGAAGGTTAGACCAATACCCTGTCCCTTTCTCCTCTGCTTTTTGAGCGAGGTTGCAATCAGATCATATCTGTAACTGAAACATTGTAAGTGATTTACTAGTAGTGGTCACTGCAAAGGAAAGCATCACTATTGCTCATAAAATTAGAAGCAAAACAACCCTGCGTCTCAATGTTCATACTATCCATCCTAAATAGTATGTGAGATTAGAATAAATGTGTCCAAAGCATAGTATGTTGAAAAGAGTATGCCAAAAGTCCCCGGATGGTCTACTATTTCAGGTCGATTTATGAAGTGTGGATCCGTGCACATGCTAATCTAAAATTGCCCACAATCCATTGCGCGTTGGCGAAGGATTCGTTCCAGAACTACAAACACGAATAAAACGTTTAAAACTACAAACGTGGCGGATGCGCACGATCGACGGTTAGGTAGAGAGGTTTACAAAAAGGGGTTTGAGTTACTAAATAATCAACATGTAACCTGGTAATAAAATATTTATTTATTGTTATCCGTGTTATATTTCATCTGCAACAGCAATGCGAACTTTTATAAACATCCAGGTGATCGTTAACTTATGCATCATTATGCAGAAAATATGAGCAGAGTTCTCGGCATGAAAGACCTGCGACTGGCAGATCAACGAGCTACTTCTTTTCTCTCCAATACGGTAGGAAGTGAAATGAAATGAAATGTGGAGGATGTTAACTGTGACAAGATGATTGACAGGCCAGTTTACAGTGACAGGGTGCGTGTAACAGGTGCCACAGAGTGGTCCTTTAAAGGGGTCATATGACGTTGCTAAAAAGATAGAGAATATCTCGTTCTCACAAATATTTGGTGTAATGCAATGTGTTTATGCGGTTTAAGGTTCAAAAAACACATTATTTTCCACATACTGTACATTATTGTTTCCCCTCTATGCCCCGCCTTTCTGAAACACGTAGATTTTTTCAAAGCTCATCGGTCTGAAAAGCGAGGTGTGCTCTGATTACATTTTACGTGACGTCCACCTGCGAATGCAGACACGATGGCTGGATTGCGTTTACATTACACTGAGATCCGATCACAATGCGTCCTCGACTACCTCTGGACCAAGACACGCTGATCGGATAACATTCCGATCAGAAGCGCGTTTACACTTGTCTTTTCAATGTGTATGTGGACAACATCCGGATACAGGTCGCATGTTAATGCCAAGTGTAAACGCAGCCAGAGTTTCTCCTCTATGCCTTTCTGAAACGTGTCGATTTTTACAAAGCTCATCATTCTGAAAAGCGAGGTTTGCTCTGATTGGCCAGCTATCCAGTGCGTTGTGATTGGCCGAATACCTCAAGCGTGTGACAGAAAGGTTACGCCCCTTACCATACTGTGATGCCGTGTCCCGGCACGACGAGACAAAAACATTAAAACCCATTATAAACGAGACATTTGTTGCATCCAGTGGGGACATAATTACTGATTATAATGACTTATACTGTCTTTTTACGCGTTGCGTATCACGCTGCGTATCGCGCCGCGTAAACATAAAACCATGTCTGCATTTGTGATCGGAGAAACGACAAACAACAAGTGCTACTCTACGCTGCTCAAAACTCACACTTGAATCATCAGTGGCAAATCCTTTAAATATGAAAACATACTTACAGGCTGTGAGTCAGAAGCGCCAGACTGTCCTTGCAAAGTTGGAATTGCCCCACTTTATATAAACAGCCTTTGTGCACAGCCGCATTGTATCTACTCTCCCAGGAAACAGTCCTCCATAAAATGCGCTGCACACACTCGAATATTTGGTTTGAACTGTTCTGGAACAGTGTTGTAGGTAGAAAGGAAAAATTGAAATCGCATCATATGACCCCTTTAAAGATGCTACTGTGTGACGTGGTAGTATGTCCCAAAGCTTGACTACTGTTCTACTACACACTCAAAAGTGTGTACTTTTTCTTCATCAAAAGAGTACATACTTTAAGGGCGTAGTATAAGTAGGCACATTGGGACGCAGCACAAGTACCCTGAACCCATTGAACCACTGGCTCACTCGATTCATTCAAAAACAGATTAATTCAAGGAACGAAACACTGTTACTATAAAAAAAAATTTATAGTATATTTGTTTTATAAAATTAATAGCACATTTGTTCTT